GTGGGAACCCGGTGTAGGGGAGCTATGGGGGGAAAAAAGAGGAACAACTGTAATAATCTGAACAATAAAGATTTAATTTAAAAAAATAATAAGATAAATTCATATTTGGAATACTATGCTTTCATCAAAAAGAATGAGATGTATTTACATGTGTTGACATAAAAACAACACTACTTGAAACATTAAGTGAAACAATAAGGTGCACAACAGTGTGTACAGCATGCAGAAATTAGCCTATATATATATATATATATATATATGCACTTTTCCCTGTAAGTCAAATTATAGATAAAATTTAAACTTATAATTGTCACGGGGAAGTAAAGTACAGGAGAGGAAATATAGTCAATAATATTGTAATAACTATGTATGGTGTCAGATGGGTACTAGATTTATTGGGGTGCTTCATAACACATATAAATGTCTAATCACTATGTTGTACACCTGAAATGAATATAATATTGTATGTCAACTGTAATTGACAAGCATATTTTTTTAAAAAGGGTAGAAGGGGAAAATATTTTTAAATAAGAAATTTTAAAGTAAGCATCTATAGCTGTTATGCTTGGGGAGAGGAAATGGAAAGTAGGAGGAGGAAGGTATCACTTTCCATTTTGTACTTTTTGAACACTATAAGTTGTCAATTTACACATGAGTTATTTTTCTTTCTTGTCCTCCCCCCTTTTTTCCCATCACAAAGGTGTTGGCTGGACCTGGCAGGAAGATTATGGAACACAGGTTTTTAAATTTTCTGTAATAAAAACATAATATACACTCCCCCCCAAATTTCCCCCAATTTACAAGGTATTCACTATCTACTAATTCTAAAATAATCCATAAAAATTTAGAGTTTAAGAAGAGGTTATATAAACTTATATAAATGAAACCACGAAACTCCTATATTTAAATAGACATAATGACAAGTTCTAGAAACAGGGTTTCCCAATACCTGATCTCAGTAATTTAATAACCACTAGATTAACTATTATGCATTCTCATTAATGTAAACTTTGATTAGTATCAAAATTATGTTCAAACAGTAAAAAAACTTTAAGTATCAAATACAAGAATCTGATTTTAAAATAAGCTAGCAAAAACCTCTAAAACAAATTTAGAAAAGGAAGGTGTCCAATATGCATTATGTACATAGAATGAAAATCACCCTTTACACATAGAAATTTAATTATTTTTTCATAGTATTTTAACCCAAATGTTGCAACCATTAAAAAAAACACCTCAAAATTCCATTTCCTCTTATAATGCATCAACAAAAATAATTTATCATTACTTCTTCAAGTTATAGATAAGATTTAAATGACTAGAGATATTCAGAGTAGAGAACTTACCGATTCATGGCAGGATCATTCATGAAGGCTCGATAACCCTGCAAGTAAAACTTGCAGAGTGTCAGGACACCCAAGGCAACAAAAGAAACCGTGAAGACCAAACCCAAAAGAGAATAAGGAGTGCTGCAGCATTCAGCAATACTAGAAGAAAAGGGAAAATAGTGGCAGATAAAAATTTTCTATTTGGAATAAAAACATCTTAAACTTTTAAATAACCACCAAACTTGACCTAATCCTCATTAATTAAAACACTCCAAACTAAAATTTCAGATGTCATCTCCTAAACACCTTATTAATAATTTAAATCCGTTCTTATTATCCTAATCTACATTTTCTTACCTCTTTGGCAAATATTTAGTACACAGCACCATATCTGAAACAGAGTCTTAATTTTTATTTATCTAGGATCTCCTTCAAATGCATCATCTACTTAATACTCCCAGGGCTTACAGCTTGTTCAAACTTTAAGAAACACATCATTAACATATTGGTGATATTCAAAAGAAACATGTATAGTTGTCCACTGTTCCTTCTGAAAAATGTTGGCTGTTCAAATTATTCTGACTGTACTGTGACTGTGGTTACTAGTCAAAACTCATTTGGCCAAACTGCTACCGGGCAGGGTCTACTTTGGCTTTGACGTCCCTCACCTCACTTCAACGTTTTCCATACTGCCGGTGCTTTAAAATAAACTTATTTAGGCTTAGTTTAATTTAATTTAGGTTTAGATCAATTCATTTTATTTTGGGTTATTTTTAAAACAAGTCCAATAATATAGCTCAAGACCATTTAATATACTTTTAATATTGATATTTAACATTAAAGTTTGCTATGAATATCACTTACAAGGAAAACTGAAAAACCTTACAGTAAAGCTTGGAAACACTTTCATATTTTATGGAAATACACTCACTGCTTTCATTGAACATATTAGGTATTAACTTATAAGTATTTTGAAATATATGTATTATGTGCCAATAATTTGGATTTAGCATTTACACAGCATCTAAGAAATGTTTAAAGCCCTGTATCTTCAGGTTTGCATTTCATTTGGATACATGAGGAGTTTATCCAGGAGAATCACATCTGTCCTTTATTAGGTAGCTCCATGCTTCTGCTACATAGGTATCCTTCCTACACTACTGCTTACTAGCTAGTTTTCATAGGAAATTATCTAATTTTATGCAGACCAATGTACCTTCTAATGAGAAAAAAATGTCTGGTTTTATGTTAGGAATAAAAATACCTATCAATTCTAGTGGCTGATAGCTAAAAGAATAAATGTTATATGGCATTCTTACAAATCTAATTTCTGAAATGTTTGACATTTTTCTTAGAGAAATTATTATATAACACGTTTAAACAAATTGTCCAGTAATTTAAAACATAGGAAAATCATGGCTGAAAATAACACTAAAAATTTTATCTTATTCTCACTAGAAAATCTGAAAATTTTAATGAAGGTCCATATTATTCCTATATCTACATTTAGAGTAATCTTTTACACCCAAAGAAGGGTGATCTAATTACATTTTCAAGAGGAGCACATTCGTCTTCCCTTACTTTAGAAAAGAATGTGGTGCTATCTTTCAAAAGATACCAAAGAAAACAAGAGGTTTCAACCTTGCTTTGGGGAAGTGAAAGAGTTTGGGAAATTTATAAAATTTTTTCTTCCCCTCTCTCTTCAATGAGACATTTTATTAATTTTAGTTTTTATTTTTCTAGCTGCAAAAGAAGCTTCTGTTTGTTTTTCAGTTTGTGTATGCTTTTTGGTTGGTTTGTTTAGTCCAGGTGTTCTGATAAAGTTGCAACCCTCCTTTTTGTAAATAAGTTTTGTGGGTTTTTTTTTTTGGCAAGGCAACACACAAATATAACTTGGCACACAATAGCATCGAGAAGGCCAAAAAACAATGCTTGCAGAGATATAAATTAAGCAAAAAGCCATATGGGAACTTCTCTATTAAAAATGAAATTAAAGCATTCTTATTTTGAGGATCAATCTATCCTATGTATAAAAAAAAGAACAGAGAGAAAAATTAGTTGGGCAATATATCTAAACCTCATCTAAAATCTCAGTGTTATTTTCTGACTTTGTAATTAAGTCCAAACTCATTCACAGCTTACTGATTGTTGAGCCTATTTATTACACTATGCTATACTACATTTGATTGTGCTTTACAATGAACAGCAATCTAGTTTAAAACATAGTCATATTTAGGTTATTATTCTAACCACAGGATTTTTATCTCTCTTTCTCATTAAATTCAGTTACTTTTTACATTATTTTAAAATTCTGCATAAAATCTCCATTATTTACACTGAAGAAAACAGCAGTAAAACCTAGTTAATAATGGGCCATTAAAATGTGTTTGAGCCGAAACCGGTTTGGCTCAGTGGATAGAGCGTCGGCCTGCGGACCAAAAGGTCTCAGGTTCGATTCCGGTCAAGGGCATGTACCTGGGTTGCGGGCACATCCCCAGTGGGAGATGTGCAGGAGGCAGCTGATGGATGTTTCTCTCTCATCGATGTTTCTAACTCTCTATCTCTCTCCCTTCCTCTCTGTAAAAAATCAATAAAATATTAGAAAAAAAAAATGTGTTTGATACCAATTTATTGCATGTTTATAGAAGCCACTTATCAATTAAAAGTGTTATTTTCAGAAAGTACAAAATCTGACTTAGTACCAGTAAGTTTACTTTCCTTTTTCTTAACATAGGTACTGCCCTATGACATTTTTATTAATACTTAACTTTGTGTAACATGTTCGATCTTAACAAGTAACATGCTCCTTAAGGACCGTAAATTTGTCTTAAACTTCTCATTCCTTGTACCACTTAGTACATAGTGTTCTATCATTTTGGATGGCTAGGAAACAATGGTTCTATCAACTAAAACTCAAGACCTTTATCCACCTGTATTTACTTTCCAGAAGGACAGTTTCATTCTTGCCTTTTAAGGCGACAGTGAGCCATGGAACAAAGATGTGTACCCACGTGCTAGATTCTGAGGGCTCGAGATTCCAACTCCAAGTGGAAAAATGGCAAATGTGGATCTAGCATAAGCGCACAGCAAAGACTGTGAAGTGAGAAAAGACTCTAAGGACTTTTTTTTCATACTAAACCTTAAAAATCAAGTCTTAGTATTCCTTGGGGTTTAGTAGTAAAGTACTGTAATATACCCATTTCACTATTTGACTCTCTCTCAATAATGAAGCAAAACATTAAAAATAATGAGGCATAGGGCCCTAGCTGGTTTGGATCAGTGGACAGAGCATCAGCCTGTGGACTGAAGGGTCCCAGGTTCAATTCCCAGTCAGGACACATGCCTAGGTTGCAGGCTCGATCCCCAGTAGGGGGCGTGCAGGAGGCAGCGGATCAATGATTCTCTGTCATTATTTATGTTTCTATCTCTCTCTCCCTCTCCCTACCTCTCTAAAATCAATACAAATATATTTAAAATGATAATAATAATAATAATGATAATGGGGCATAATGAAAGCGCATAGGTAAGCCACAGGGTTTGAAGTCAGATGGGGTTTCAGCGTCAGCACTGCTTCTTTCCGCAGTACCACCTGGGTGACTTGGTACAGTGTCCTCAGCTATAAAATGGTAATAATAACAAAGGCACCAGCATCACCAGACCTGGAAAGCCACTGAATGAAAATCCTATCTTAATTAAATATGAAGTACTATAATATGAATGATAAAAGTTAATTTGCAAAACTTACTGTTCCTAGCTCAGTGTTTTCTTCCTAAGGTATGGGCAGTATCAGACGCTCATATTAGTTACCTTGTCAAGAAAAGGAAAAGAAGCCTTTCCCGCGACGCAGGCTGATCTCGAGTACTAAAGTAGGAGTAAATCTGAAGAGCAAACAAGACGAGCCAGAAAACCATGAAAAGTACAGGGACCACCAGTTGATTCCACAGAGACATTCCCAAGGCTAGAAGGCCATATACCTCCACAACCTGAAAAAGAAAATAAATAGAAAAACATCTCATCTTATATCACACACCAATAAACAATCCTATATAATAAAAGCCTAATATGCTGAGTGTCAGACCATTTGACCAGTCGCTATGACGCACACTGACCACCATGGGGCAGACGCTCCGACCGGGAGGTTAGCTTGCTGCTGGGGTCCAGCTGACCTGAAGTGGGCGAGACGGGCCGGACATGTCCTGGAGCCCTCCCTCGACCCCTCCCCAGCCCTAACTGTGCCAGGCCGAGGGACCCCACTGGTGTATTAATCCATGCACCGGGCCTCTAGTTTTAAATGTAAGAGTTTATTCTAAAGTACTACAGATAAAAATTGAATCACTTTTATTGCAAGATTGTTTCAAATAAATTCCTTTAAAGTCACTCTACACATACAGTTAGCCAATAGCATGTTTTTAAAAATTTGTTGATTTCTGCATTATTAACACTTAACACACACTCATCAAATAGAAAAGTAAATTGCCCTGATAGTTCAGGGATAAAGTTATGTGCAGAGTAAAACTACATCAAGGGCAATACCAGGAGACTTGCTAAACTTACTCTTTTCTAATCAAAATGATCAGGACTAGCACGATTAATGCAATATTGCTTGAAGGACTAGGGAAAAATGAAATATACAAGGAAGCATTTTTCAGGTTTTATTCAGGAATGTCAACAATGAGAAATAGTTCGATGGAAGACAGAATAATCACTGGAAAAGTTTACTTTATCATGAAGCAAAGGTAATTAGTGAGTTTGTCCCCCCAGGAAATCAGCAAGTTTTTTCCTTTGCTCCTACTGTGTATTTATCAAGCAACATTTCTCAATTTGGTTTGTCAAGTACATTAACATCAAGAAACAAAGTATACCTAAAAAAAACAACAAAACAAAACAAAACACCCAGGCAGGCTACATGCTCTAACCTAAGCAGTCAACTGTTCTTGCTGGAACTCTCAATGTGATTCTTCAATAAATTATAAAGATCTTAAAATACATGTGGTTGCAAGTTGTTCTGGTTTCTAATTAGTATCTCTCTAGGTAGGTAAAGATCTTTAAGTATTAAGTTAAAATACACTCACTTGCAGGGTATTCTAAAATTAAATTTTTTTTTCATCTGTACCAGTAAATCAAATGCTTTTTCTAAAAACTAGTAAAAAATTAACCTCTCTTTCCCCAATTTGAAAATATTGGAGGGAGGGGGCGGGAGGAGGAAATTGTTCAACTAGCTGTAAAATTATTATTAGCAGCAAGCTGATCACTGAGAGAGGTAGAGTAATTTTTCTCCTTTCCATTCAAGGAACAGATCACTAAAAAACCTGCCAATTTTCACTTCTTGCCCATCAAATTCTTTCTAGGTCAGCCCGGCTGGTGTAGTTCAGTGGTCGAGCTTTGACCCACGAACCAAGAGGTCCAGGCTCAATCCCCAGTAGGGGGGTGTACAGGAGGCAGTCGATCAATGATGTTTCTCTCTCACTGATGTTTCTCACTCTATCCCTCTCCCTTCCTCTCTCTCTAAAAATCAATAAAAACATATTTTTTAAAAATCCTTTAAAAAATTCCTTCCAGGTCATGAACTCCATACTTATAATGTGTTTTCAATTGCCACACTAAGTGATGCATGAATCTTATGGCAATCAACTCCTTGACACTGAAAATGTCATTGAAACATGACACTGAAAATGAAGACTTTGTCCTTATGGAGATTAATTAAACAGTGTCCATTAATACTTACTCAATATCTACTGTTTCTTACAAAATAAGACAGCTCCACGCGACTGAATTCAAAGAAGAAAATATAAAATTAAATTGGTCATTCTCTCTCTGAAGACAACGGCAACCCTTCCCCTTGAAGCAATTTTTCATGGAGAGACCGAAAATAACCTCATCTCTGGAAGATCTACTTTCAGGAATCACCCAACATTGTGTAAGATGAAGAAAGAAGGAAGTTCAGGCTAAGGTCAAGAGCTTGGAAAATTTTTCTCTGGGAAATCTGCCCCTGGGCCACAACAACACAAAAGCCTGCTTCACTTAGTATGTTTGGACAACCTGAGAGCTTCCTGTACCTTAAGGTCATATACACACAGTCAAGAGAAGAGAATGCCCATTTCAACACTCTCTTTTTATACCAAGGTCAGTTTTAAGCTCTATTTTACATATATAGACTAGAGGCCCAGTGCACAGGTTCGTGCACCAGTGGGGTCCCTAGGCCTGGCTTGCGGGGATGGGGCCGAAACCAGCTCTCCGACATCCCCCGAGGGAGTCCCGGATTGTAAGAGGGTGGTTCTCGGGTGATGCACCCCGGAATCAGGCTCCCTCCTCTCTGGTTCCGGGTGTGTTACCGGAGAACCGGAGCTGCCAAGTCACCACAGCTCGGCAGCTCCTGCGTTGAGTGTCTGCCCCTTCGTGGTCAGTGTGCATCATAGCTACTAGTCAGAGCGTCTGCCCTCTGGTGGTCATTGCACATCATAGCTACTGGTTGAACGGTCAAACAGTCGCTTAGGCTTTTATATAAATAGATACTGCAATTTCTCAGTGATATCAAATAGAAATATTTATCTCCTGCATATCTACTGTTTGTATCTAGGAATAATGTTTTTGAGCAAAGTCTGAAAAAAGTAGGAGACAGAAGCATGTTATATTAGCAAGTCAGTTCAAGTACTAAACGAAATCCATCATCATGTTATAGTCCAAAACTATTTAACTTCTCAGTTTAAGCAAATTAGGCAAACAAACAGGGAAAACTGCAGTTACAGTAGGACTATAATCGGGGAAAAACAGGATCTGACCTCCAGTATGTATTAACTGTCTTCATTACAACAATTAATACATACTAAACATCACCTGCCTGGCACTGAACTCATTTGAATCTCATGGCAATCCTCTGAATTAAGTACAACTGCTATTATCAGCTCCATTTTACAGATAAGCAAAGTTAAGTGGCTATCCCCAGGTTACACAGCTAGTCAACAGCAGCACCAGAGTAAAAACCCAGAGAAATCACTCCCCTTTACTGCCTCTCAATGGCACATCCCAACAAAGAATCTCAGCTGTTCCTAATTGGGTTGAAAATAATTGCTATCTTGAAACCATCAAACAGGTTACCATGATCAGGACTGTGAAAAAAAAGTGAACTAAATCTTTAATATATATAGTACTTATGTAGAGTTTTATCTACCTGTGTGGTTATCAGTCTTACCTGAACCAATTCTCTGTATGCAGACTTAGCAAGGTTATAAGGTACCAAAAGATTAGACCCAAGAAAATAGAGAACTTCTAATCCAGTAAAAATCATAGCGAATTTGTTGATGATAACAATGGTCTCCAGAGGAACCAGGCAGAGTCGTGCTAGCAGAGGAAGCATGTGGGCGGAAAAGAGCCAAATCTGCTTCGTTTTCATGACACAGGAGCATAAAGTACACACCACCAACTGACCTAAAGGGGGAGAAGGCATTTAATTTTGAGATTTGGTGTCCACAAAGTAAAAACAAAACCCCCTGTCCATAAGGACGATGACACAGCTTTTGAAGAAGTCTAATTAAGATCACTTAGACCAAGCATGTCAAACTCAAAGCCTAACACGGGCCAAATAAACAAGGTATGTGGCCCGCAGGTACGAGTTTGACATGCTTGACTTAGACCAATTTTAACTTCATCTGACCGTAATTACATATTCACATGGTCCATGGATTTTGAGCAGCAATTCCCTAGGATTTGAAAAAAACAGCACAAATATTCACTGGTCTTCATCCCATTCCAGATGGCATGTGTAATATGGAGAAAGTTTCTAAAATGTCTAATTCAATAGTATAATTCAGTTACTGCTATAATACATATAGCTCCTTTTACAAAGGTGCTCAATATTTAACTCTCCTGGTCTGCAGGGGAAAATATAAATCCAAGAGGAACAGTTACCTGTCCAAGATCATGCTGTGACGACATTTATTCTGAAGTTTTTGATCTTTAATTGCTTTTGCAGGACCATAATAAAAGCCTTCTCAAATGACTCAATAATTAAAGTTAAAACTGAAAAGCTGAGGCAAGGAATTCTCAAAGAGGATTATGCATAATCATATAGAAAATTTAGGAAATATAGAGAAAAGGAAAAAAAATCCCAATCTCTTACAATTTTATCACCCAAAAGTAGCACAGCTAATGTCTTGGTTCCATTAAATGACGTACTACATATAAAGCCTTAGCATTGTATTTGAAAGCTAGTAAGTGCTCAACAAAAGTTAGTTATCTATATTATTTGTTACCTTTTCAGATTTATGCCATGCATATGAATATACATGGTTGTTTTATGTAAAGGAAATGTTTAGTGTACATAATCCTATATAATAAAGAGGTGATATGCAAATTAACCCTCACACCATCACAAGATGGCTGCACCCACAGCGGAGGTGGGGTTCCCATAACGAGCTGTAATGAGCGAGTGATCAGCAGGGACCTGAGGCTGCGTGGTGCCCGGCCAGGGCGGGAGACCTGAGGCTGCACCCCCGCCACGGCACCGGGCCAGGGGACCTGAGGGTGCGCTGGGGGACCTGAGGCTGTGCCCCCCACGGCCAGCACCGGGCCAGGGGACCTGAGGGTGCGCTGGGGGACCTGAGGTTGTGCCCCCTGCCCAGCACTGGGCCAGGGGACCTGAGGCTGCGCCACCTGGTGGGGCTTGACGGGGGTGGGGCCAGCCAGGTCTGGGTCTCGCGTGATTTCGAGGCACGTGTGGGTGGGTGGGGACTTGACTCTGAGTCCCGTGGCGCACCCCAGACTGATAGGAGGAAGATTTTCATATACATTTTACTAATTTTCTTTCATCTCTGACATTTCTATTATTAAGGGCAAATAGCAATATTAAAATATTTCCTCTAATTAATTCCGTTAATGTGCATGAATTTCGTGCACCGGGCCACTAGTATTTTATAATCAGCTCTTGTTATTTAATACATATTATTCATATATCTCTCCATACTAATAAAATATATACCTTTTTTTGTTGTTGCTGTATGGTATATTGCACTGAATGTATATGACATAATATTAGCATTTGGCGGTTTTTAAATATTTCATAATTATAAAAAGCTTTGCGTATTCATGAGATACTTGGTGCACATTTCCTAATATTTTCTTAGACTCAATTCCTAAAAGTGGGATTACAGAGCTACAAGAAATATTTTTTAAGACTTTTGACATACACTACCCTATTGCCCTGCAAAAACAAAACACCCAGCATACAGAGTGCCCATTTTCCCACTGACTTGCCAAAGTGAAAGTAATTTAAGGAAGAGAAGAGCAAGGAATATTTTCTAAGGTTTTTTTACATTTCTATTTTGTTGATAACCAGTAGCATTGACATTACCAATAAGTATATAAAAATTTGCAATTATTTGTTGAAATTCTTATTCATGCTTTCTGCCCATTCATCTACTTGAAGATGTAGTCTTCTATTGTTTGATTAAGATATTAATCTAGTTTGCCATATGAATGTATTTCCAAATGTGTCACCTGTCTGACTATTTTAATAACATTTTGCTCCTATTAGTGTAAGTTTTTATTGTAAAGAGTCAAACCTATCAGTCTTTTCTTTAATGGTTTCCATCTTTGCTACCACAGTTAATTACATGGTTCCTCTTACTCAAGAGCATACAGAGCCCTGGCCAATGTGGCTCAGTTGGTTGGAGCATTATCCCGTACACCAAAAGGTTCAATTCCTGGTCAGGGCACATACCCAGGTTGTGCCCCGCCCCCCCTTCCAAAGCAATAAAAACATATCCTCAGGCGAGAATTTTTTTTTTAAAGGTATCTAAAAGTCCCAGACCGCACCCCCTCCAAAAAAAGTATCACTTAATCAAATTATCTTCCTTCTTGCCAATGAAAAGCAAAACAATGCTCTGGGATTTTTGTTGTGTTCCATTCATATTACTGTTAGAAGAATACAAAAATGGCAAATTTTTACACAAAACCAAATGTTTATTATGAACCTACTTGCTATAAAACGTGATATTTTCTCCCACAAAGTATTAATTTTAGCCTTTAAAGAACTGATATTCATATAATGTGAAAAACATTCATAAAGGCATAAAAAAAAGAAGAAAACCCATAATAATAAAAAACCCAGAAGAGAGGCCACCAAGTGAGACAGGCCAACACTGTATTGGAGAGAAAACAGAGCTATGAGGCAGCATGGTTTCAGCTAGGCCACTACACGTCCCCGCCCAGGAGGAAGGCTGAAGTTTGCTCTGGAGAGGCTGAACAGACTCCTAAACAACCCAGGGAATGTGAGGTGCCCAAAAGAAACGAGGGGATTAAAATAAAAATCTGCACCTCAAAAGATGATCTCTCTAGATCTCCAAACACTGCTACCATGTTTGCTGCCACCCAGTTCTAGTCACAGAGGGGACAGAAAGACTCCCCGTTAGTGAAAATGACCAGACTTATGCCATGCACATGGATATACACAGATGTTTTATGTAAAAGAAATGTGTAGCATACATATTTTACAATCAGCTCTAAGTAAAAAGACCTACAAATACACTTAAAGTAGCCAGTCCCACTTGAACACCTACTGTGTTCACACCAACTGCTAAGCCCTAAAGCAAGCATGTCAAACTCTCAGCCGGCGGAGAGTTTAAGTCACCAACTTAATAACTCACTTTAAAACAAATGATCTGCCAAGAACTACAGGTATTTAAGTAAAAACGTATAGCTTAATTAGCCTCAGCTGGGACCTAGCATCAGTATTCATAATTAAAAAAAATAAATAACCAGGTGTTTCCAATCCAGGTTTGAGAAGCATTGATGTCTCGTGAAAGACAAAGACCAAACAAACAGAAAAAAAGATCTCAGAGGAAATGGAACAAAAGAAAGCTTCAAAGAGATAACACATTTAAGAAATAAAAAAAGACTGTCATACCCTAGTCCAATGGTCGGCAAACTGCGGCTTGCGAGCCACATGAGGCTCTTTGGCCCCTTGAGTGTGGCCACGAAGTTTCAATCGCACTGTACATGCGCGCCCGCATGTGGTATTTTGTGGAAGAGCCACACTCATGGGGCCACAGTTTGCCGACCACTGCCCTAGCCGGTTTGGCTCAGTGCATAGAGCGTTGGCCTGTGGACTGAAGGGTCCCGGGTTCGATTCCGGTCAAGGGCACATGCCCAGTTTTCGGGCTTGATCCCCAGTATCTCAATGATCCTCTCCTATCACTGATGTTTCCATCTCTCTCTCTCTCCCCCTTCCTCTCTGAAATCAATAAAAATATATTTTTTTTTAAAAAAAAGACTGTCATAGTACAAAGAAGTATTCATTAAAAACAAGCTCCCAAAAATATGTAACAAGAAAATGCAATAGAAGTGTTGGAAGGTAAATTGAGAAATTTCAGAAAGACAAAAAGAAAGGAAGAAAAGAAAAACAGAACCATAAGAAAGTTAGGGGGTCAATGTAGGAGAAATCTTAGCCAATTAACAGAATTTCCAGAACCATAAGAAAGTTAGGGGGTCAATGTAGGAGAAATCTTAGCCAATTAACAGAATTTCCAGAAAAGGATAAAAGAGAAAACAATAGGAACAACACCTGAGTGGAGAGGAGAAGTATAGGACAGAGCTGATTTTCATCATAAAATTGTAGTATTTCTTCACTTTTAAGGAAATGCTTTAATACTAGGAAAGATTAGGAATTCTCTTTCTGGCAAAGCTTACTTTCACTGTGCTCATAGCTATGACCCTTAAATTTCCTTGTTCAGAATAACTTCCTCTAAGCTCTGAACATTCCCACAAGCCTACACCAGCACTCAGTGCTCGGCTCTGGACAACAGGCTTCACTTATCTTCTTTCATAGAAGAATATGACTCATGTGCTATGATTCTAAGAGCAGACTCCTCCTCCTACTTAGATGGAAGAAGGAGTCAATTCTTGGAAATCTCTTCAGTAGCTCCAAAAGAACAGGAAGTTGTTTATTAACACTGATAAGATTGAATAAATCAAAATCTCAACATAATCTTTGGATTTCTGAATTCCACTATTAGAAATATCTCCAAGAAATCTGCAACCCTAATAAATGATAGCACATTCAAATTACTTAGTTTTTCATTAAAAGCTCATTAATTAAATGGAAGGAAAGAAGTAGAGTTACTTTAAAATCGAAGTCAGAAGAAAACATGCTACTTATTAATAGTGTATGGGTTTTGTTTTATTTCTAATTAATTGAATCTTATTTGAGTATAATGACTATTATAACCACTGAAAGGAACAATTTAAGAAAATGTTTCAGATTTATACTAAATTGTAGCTATCACAGAATAAGAGAGAATAATTTACAAGCTTTCTAACCTACCAAATATCCTCACACTTGAATGTTACCCTTTACTGAATACACCAACTCAGGATATACTCATAAAGCAACATTATCTTTGTCTCCTACTGTCTTTTAAAACCCATTCTGAAGATTATTGTACTCCTATCCCTAAAGTAAGTCCCATAACTTTTTTATCTTAATTTTCGCAGTCTCAATCTGATAATAACTACAACGGAAACTGATTTAAAGTTGAGGCTTTCCCTTTACTCTGGCCCAGGCCTATGAGACTATGGATAGAAAACCTGCCTTGTGAGAAGGTCCACGATGGATCAGGTACGGCAAGATTCTACCTCTTTCTTTGCCAGCACCATCTCCCTCTCTTCTGATTTACCCAGGACTGAAAAAGGTAGGGAAAGTTAAAAATAACAGGCAAAATTAACAATATATTTTATTTAACACTAGTGGCCCAGTGCACGAAATTTGTGCATGGGGGGTGTCCCTCAGCCCGGCCTGCACCCTCTCCAATCTGGAACCCCTTGGGGGGGGATCAGGCCTAAACCAGCAGTCGGACAACCCCCTCGCAATCTGGGACCGCTGGCTCCTAACCGCTCACCTGCCTGCCTGCCTGATCACCCCTAACCACTCTGCCTACCAGCCTGCTCTCCCCCAAATGCCCCCCCCACCGGCCTTCTCACCCCCAACTGCCCACCCTTGCTGGCCTGATTACCCCCAACTGCCCCCCCCGAGGACATTTTCCCCTGTCATAGATACCAGCTCCTTATTCATTATATGAATTACAAATATTTCCACCATTACTCCAGTCTACTTATATCAAGGTAGAGTATGATATATTCCTGAGAAGAAGAGTCACACTACTTGGATAATTTAAATAATTAATTTGGTACTTCAAAAACTGGGTATACATAAAGACATTTGCAAATATTAATTTCTTAAATTGAAAATTTCCTAAACTCTTGAGAAACTGGATCTCTGTTTTCCCTATATACATGTACTCACATAATGAAGCTGAGTATCCTTAAGTGAATAAAAAAATCTGTTTAGAATATGTCTGTGGAATGGATATGGCTTATAGTTCAGAAATTTAAACTAGAAGATCCAGGGCTCAGGGGATAGATAACATTTAATATTATATTCTAATTGACTCATTAGAATTGAAAAA